TTACAGGGATATCCTGGACGAAAACCTTTTCCAGAGTGCTCAGGACCTCAGACTGGGCCGAAGGTTTATCTTCCAACAAGACAATGACCCTAAGCACACAGCTAAAATAATGAAGGAGTGGCTTCACAACAACTCTGTGACTGTTCTTGAATGGCCCAGCCAGTTCCCTGACTTAAACCCAATTGAGCATCTCTGGAGAGACCTAAAAATGGCTGTCCACCAACGTTTACCATCCAACCTGACAGAACTGGAGAGGATCTGCAAGGAGGAATGGCAGAGGATCCCCAAATCCAGATGTGAAAAACGTGTTGCATCTTTCCCAAAAAGACTCATGGCTGTATTAGATCAAAAGGGTGCTTCTACTAAATACTGAGCAAAGGGTCTGAATACTTAGGACCATGTGATATTTCAGTTTTTCTTTTTTAATAAATCTGCAAAAATGTCAACAATTCTGTGTTTTTCTGTCAATATGGGGTGCTGTGTGTACATTAATGAGGAAAAAAAATTAACTTAAATGATTTTAGCAAATGGCTGCAATATAACAAAGAGTGAAAAATTTAAGGGGGTCTGAATACTTTCCGTACCCACTGTATATATATATGTATACATGTGAATTAGCACTACCTTAATACCCTGATTTAATACACAATCACAATATACAATAAAGATTGTGGGCACTCTATACTACAAAAACAAAACAAATCCCTGTAATAGTCAAAATATTAACTTGTCGAATAAAAAAAATAAAAAAATGTCCTACCCTATTTACCTGTAGTGTCTCTGGGTGAGAATTCACATACCAAGTCCTTTACAAAACTCAATATTGGACTTAATACAATGGGAATATTAATCAAAATATTAAATTGTAATATTTTGAAAATTTTGAAAAATTTTATTTAGATTTAATTATCTCAATTTAATTTGGTGAGTATACCAAAATCTCTTGCTCGCTCTCTCACTCATGGCCTCTCTCTCCCTCCCTATTTCTTTGTTCAATTATGTCTGGTCGCTGGTCGCTTTACTTCTGGAGCCAAATTGACTAAGCAAACTGATAAGGTGATTTTGATCATTTTGTATTTTAATTTATAATAACTGATCTGTGTTGCATACTCCATAAAATGTATATCCTTTGTATTTCCATATCAGGGTAACACATGAAAAGATCTTTGGGATATCAACTTCTTGCTTGATGGATTTTGAAATCTTACAAGGAAAACAAGCCACAAAAAATTCCTGATATGATTTTGAGTCACTGAATTACATTACTGCTGTCATAGACAAGATTTCTGCTCAACATTTACTAGATGATCGGAAAAAAGTGACCATTCCTAATTATTTTCTAACAAACTTATTACCACGACTGCTTACCCCCCTGATTTATGGTGTTCGAGATGAACTTTTTTACAATCACATGAAAAGGCTTTTTGCATGTAAAATACTTCTTGTAAAGGTTGAATCAACCAAGCAGTGAGCAAAAAAAGGCTTTTTATCTTGCTGTTAATTGTTTTCTTTATTCACTCTCTGCTGAAAACTGCTGTTTTCAGTGAGTTCTTTATTATTAGACTTTTTTGGTAATACTTACATATGTTTAGTGTAATCATAAATTATTAAATGAAAAAAAAACGGATGGCATCATAATATAAATAATGGAAATACGTTTAAAAATGTGCAAATTCTGAATGCAAGTGTATTGTACTTAGATGAATGTTTTGCAACACTTGATGCAAATATCAAACTTGAGTCTATATGGCATAATTCCTGAAGCACGACTGGTAGAGTGTGTGGCTAGAAATGCCAACACAGATGATAATAAATGTAAATCTTGAATGCACTGTAATTTGCTTGGCATAAAATTGTATGTCAAATTAAATAATATAAATAAAAAGATATACGGCCATGCTGTCCTGCAACAAATAGACAAAATTACTGTTTGTTAGCTGTCAGTAACAATGAACTGAAGGCTACAAAACATAAATGATCATTAAATGTTTTTACACAATGTTTGACATAATGACTTCATACGTGAATTAAAATAAAACTCTGTAATTTAGGTCAATAAATTTCAGAGTGGCCAAACGCTCTCTTTCCCTCCCTTCCTTCTTTTTTCCTTTCTCTCTCAAGCTATTTTTTCTCACCCCTCAATTACATCTCAGATGAGCATATAAACTGCTCAGTTATGCCTGGAACCAAAACTTTCACTAAGCAAACTGAAAAAGTATGTTCACTCTTTCAACGATGTCTTAAATTTCGTTTTTATATTCCTCATAGCATATGCTTGTTAACATGCTAAATGTTTCTCCCTTTAATTTCCATTTCAGATTAAATAAATGGATAAATCTTCATGATAAAGAAGATTTGTATTTCAGCTTGATCAAGCTGATCAGCCATCAAGATCTTTGGAAGGAAACTACAGTCAACAAAACTACAACAACTACAGTCAAAAGTCTTTCTTCCAAAGAAAACGACTACCACTGAATTTTACACCAGTGCACAGGCACAATGAACTCAATTCAATGAAAAGAATTTGCCATTGGTTTTCTTGCAGTCATAATTATCTACATCATTGGAGTTTTCACATTCATATTATTTGTATTATACTAATATTAATGAATTGCAACACTTGGTGCAAACATTGAATTTAAGCCTGTGTCATAAAACCTGTAGCTGAACTCAGAGTACGTGTGCAACTAGCAATGCCATTTTCATGAGTTCACTACTTGTCATTGAACACCGATATTAATAAATGCAACTTTGGAAAATGTGCCTCTATGTAAATTTTTTGGCAAAAACTCCTAGATACAATTTGTTGCAGTTTCCAGCTGAAATGACCCCGGTGGCATTAAAACAAAGATAACATTTATTCTTTTAATGCTGTATACAGTAAATGAACATTACTCCATAGACATTTCTCTCATTGAGCAAAATCATAACTTCTTTGCTGGTCAATGAATCTTAACTTTTTTAACCTTAAACTCTATTTAGTAAACTATGAAATTATTTATTCAAACTTGTATATGTTATACTACAGAACATATTTCAACAGGGTTACATTTTTCACACAAATTATGATTACGGGGCAGATTTGATTCATAAAGACTTGTAAGATTTGTAAACTAATACATTGACAATTGCATCTCATAACCAGCTTCATATGTATGACTTTTCTGACATAGTAAACTTGTTTGGTAGCTCACCTGGTAAAGCATTGCACTTGTATTGTGTACAAGTCGCGTGAATCACGAATTACAATAAATAATCTCAAAGACTTGTAAAGCAAGCTAAAATGGCATTGTTGTTTCAGCAAATGTGTTTTTCTCCCTGATGTTTGCTAATGTTAACGCTGTTAGTAAGGTTTACAGTACACTCTCAGAAAAAAAGATACAAAAGCTGTCCCTGGGGCGGTACCCTTTTAAAAGGTACTAATATGTACCATTCGGGTAGTAATATGCACCTTTAATGTACTAATATGCACCCTTTAGGGTAACTATGGTACCTTTTGAAAGGGTCTCAGATCTAATAATAAATGTATTGAAATCTAAGAATAGATTCTGATATCTTTGTTGAATGGCTGGTAAATTAAAACTATAGAAGCCAAATTGCCTGCAATCAGCATGATAAATGTTGCCAGGTTCATGTTCTTCTGTTTTGGATAAAACTGAAGGTGCTTTTAGTGCCACTTTGTAAGTGTCATGAAACGTGCAAGAAGCAATGTAATATAATTTTGCAGAAAGGTCACCAAAGGCACATTTTTTCAATGAGCCTGGGTTGCGTTTTACACAACTTATGACAATGTGTAAATGAAAATAATACTACTAACCAAAAATCTGAACCAAATAAGTTTATCTTAGTCTTATCAGACCACAGGACATGGTTCCAGTAATCCATGTTCTTAGTCTGCTTGTCTTCAGCAAACTGTTTGCGGGCTTTCTTGTGTATCATCTTTAGAAGAGGCTTCCTTCTGGGACGACAGCCATGCAGACCAATTTGATGCAGTGTGCGGCGTATGGTCTGAGCACTGGCAGGCTGACCCCCCCACCCCTTTAACCTCTGCCGCAATGCTGGCAGCACTCATACATCTATTTCCCAAACACAACCTCTGGATATGACGCTGAGCACGTGTACTCAACTTCTTTGGTCGACCATGGCGAGGCCTGTTCTGAGTGGAACCTGTCCTGTTAAACCGCTGTATGGTCTTGTCCCCCGTGCTGCAGCTCAGTTTCAGGGTCTTGGCAA